TCCCCCTCGTCTGCAGAGGCCAGAGCCGTGGAGGCTGTGGGAGGGCAGGGGCGGGTCTGATCCGCTCACAGTGTGTCCCCAGCATCATGGGTGCTCAGTCGCGATTCTTACAGTGTCGAATGGACGAGGACAGGGGAGCAGGACTGCCAGAGGACAGCCAGGCGGGAGGCCCCCTTGGCCAGGGGATCAGTCGCCTGAGTTCTCTGTGACTCAGGCTGGTGCCTCGTGAGGGCTCCTCGGGAGGGACCCTGTTCCACCTGCCGGCACGGCCACCATGGATGGCGTGGACTCCACAGCCAGGCTGTGCCGAAGTGACCGTGGCCTTCCCAGTGCCCGGCGTGCCTTCCCTCCCGGTGCCTAAGTGGGCTGGCCTGAGTGCACAGGGGAGTCTTGACTTTGAGATGTTAACATTAGGACCAAAACAGCGGAAATAGCCTCTTTTAACAGCGGAGGTAGGTGTGTTACTGGGCAATCAAGGATGTCACTGTTGAGGTTCCTGCTTTGACGTTAAAAGCTTCATTCACTTGCCTTCATTTGCGCCTCACGCTGCCCGCATGTCACGTCAGGGCCTAGAGCTCCGCTCTGTCCTCCCTTGTGCTTCCCCAGGTCCCAGCAGGGGCAGGACCGCGGCGGGAAGCGAGGCGCCTGCCAGGGTAAGTGCCCGGAGTGGGCTCTGTGCAGCGGGCCGGCCGGGGGCTGGGGAGCCTGCATCTTGGGCGTGCGTGGTACCCGGGAGCCTCCCGCCTGCACTGCCGCCCAGCCGCCCGGGACCGCATTCATTTTGTTTCTCATGTTTAAATGGATGACAGGTGGGATCAGGGCAGTCGCGCGCGGACTCGGCCTGCTTGTAGTCAGGACACCTTGCTTTGGCCTGGCCTTTGGTTTGTTTATATTTTATTGTGGTAAAATGTGCATACCGTTAGCATTTAGCCATCTTTCAGCATGCAGTTCGCAGCCATTAGTTACATTCGCACTTCTGTGTAAGCATCCCGTCTGTTTCCGGGACCTTCCCCTTTGCCCCGTGCAGAAGCCCTGCGCCCACTAGGGCGTGAGCCCCGCACACCCAGCCGGCGCCCGGCAGCCGGTCCTGCGTTCGGCCCCTGGCCCGCCCTCTTCGGGGCTCATCCGCCTCACAGCCCGTATCAGAATGACCTTCCTTTCCATGGCCAAGTAACATTTAGTTCACTATCTTGTTCTCGACGTTGCTCTGCCAGAAGCCCTCGAGCGCCTGCCCACTGCCCGTGGACGGGCCGCATCCCCCGGCCTGGCCCCCAGCGCCCCGGCCGCCCTGCGCTGCGCCCGGCAGCGTGACCGGCTTCCCCCGGGGCCGTAGGGCGCCCCGGATGGTGGCCGCCCGTCCACGCCCCAGGCCCTCTGCCCACCCCCAGTAAACGTCCTACTGATGTTTTTTCTTCTTTATCATTTTAATCAACCCTTCAACTCAAAAAAGAAAAGATACACTAACAGCAAATTATTGTATTTATGAAATGTACTACGATTAAGCTTATAAATGTTTTAGGTGAAGATTAGGTTGTAGTAAATAACGACACCCCACCATCACGTTGCTCTGAGTGGGGCATGTCCTGCCCCGTGGGGCTTCTCTCTGCACGGTGGTGCGTATTTCCCAGCCTATGGCGCCATAATTTACATGCCGTAAGGTGTATGCAGTTTTAGTGTACAGCCGGGTGGATTTTGGTAATCTTATGCTGCTGTGTAACTGCCACCACAGTCAAGATGTAGAAATCCCATCCCCCTAAAAGGTGTCCCGTGGCCCTTTGCAGGGGATCCCCACTTCTGTCCTAGGCAGCCCCCACTGTGATTCTAACACCACCTCCAGTGGACACAGCCATACGCTTTTGCTCAGTGAAAGGTGTGATATGTAAACAATGGAGACAACCAAAAAGTAGGTCAGGAGCAGAGGGTGGGGAAGGAGGAGTCCCTGCAGGCCGCCAGCAGCAGGGCGGAGCCAGGGGGAGCATCGCGGTGGGTGCTGGGCGCTCTGTACCGCAGCGACCTGGTGGGGACCTCAGCGCCTAAAAGTGCTCGGGACCACCACCGTGCCACGATTCCAGAGTGTTCGTCTGTTGGGGACCTTTGAAATCACGGCCCCTACATGTGTGGGGAGAGAACCACTGTACAGAAATAAGAAAACCTGCCTGCCCTGGCCTCTGTGAATTCGTTCATGCATTCAAACTGCAAACCTTTGTGCTGGAGACCGTCTAGGCCCCGGATTTGAATCCTTCTCAGAAAGACACAGGCCTTGTGAAGACTAGATAGCATCTCACTGTACCTCATCAAGTCGTTGCTCGTGGCCTCTATAAAGACCTCTCAAATATGTCTGTCATTTTTGTATATCCTCTTCATGTTTGTATGACTGATGTTAATGGCTGCTAATATGTGATTGTTAATATACATATGTATATGGTTTCAGTATACATGTATATGATTCTAATACACACATGCATGGGGTCCTATGGTAATTGTTTTTAATTCATTAATTTTATTTAAAATTAAAATAGATGTGGCCTGCTTCACTTTGTAATAATTTAAGCATTATTTAATCTGTGTTTTTTAATCTTTTCTAAAGCATGGGGAAGAACCAGGTAGAAAGTGTAGCCACAGCGATTTAAGAAGCATTAACAAAAATTCGGGTGAAAGTGCATTGAGGAAAGTGAACAGAGAAGAGAACGGTGAGCTTTTCAAATTCCAACCGTTGTGCAAGTGAGGGGTCGGGGCCACAGAAAACCTGTTTGACCTACTAGGGCGCAGGTGTCGTGAGCCCTGGAAGACAGACCTCTGTTTGTTTGTCCAATAAAGCCTTTAATGGCCAAAGAGTATACTTTATTACTCATAATAAAAAGAGAGTAGTGTTTATTAATAAGAGCCTTTAGAAAAAGTAGTGTTTGTTGCTCTATCCACCATAAAAAGCACGTATAGAAACCCTGGGGCCTCAGGGGCCTCCTTCTTAGACATCATGTAGTATGTAAGGATGTATGTGTTACTCTTTGAAATTCACTTTAAAGTGATTAGTATTACTTTTTTATTTTGAGGGTTTTTTTTTTTCATTTCTTTTCCTAGACTTGAAAGAACATTGCTGTTAGATGGCAGTTGGAAAGTGAAAAGAAATAACTTATGTATTTGATGTTAGCGTAAGTGTGTAGATACAAATGTGTGCATCAAATCATATGCTTTGCGATCCTTTTTTTTTTTCTTGAAATCAGGCAATGAACCCGTCCATCTGGGCAGAGCCAGCGCCCCGCGCGCCCCCAGGCGGCAGTGGGAGAGGAAAGCGTCCCCTGCGGCGCTGGGGGACGCGTCTCTGCTCGCCTCCAGCCTGACCGCGGGGCAGGAGACAGGTCAGTCGTCAGACTGGGTACTATTATTTTATTGCACATGGTTTTCTAAGTTGTTTAATGGGCTAGAGATTTTTTTCATGACCCTCTGTGAAAGGTGTTTGGTGTCACGGTCTGGAAGGAGTTTGATGAAACTCTTCTTTATTCGGCCCTGCTTTTATCTCTTCACAACTAGGTGGCTCTGTAATAAAGTACACTGAAAATAATGCCCGCAAGCAGTGGCTCAAGGAGACTCCAGAAACCTTGCTGAACCTCCTTAAGAACACCGACCTCAGCCTGGCGTTTCAGACGTACACGGTATACAGACCAGGTGATTCGCGTCTGTCATGCACTGGTGGAGACGTTTTTTTTTTAAAGCTGTGATGAAATATACATAACATGAAATTAATTATTTTAATCATTTTGAAGCGTGCATTCAGGGGCACTAAGTACATCCGTGTCATGCGGCTACCACCTCCTTCTGTCTCCAGAGCGTTTCCCATCTTCCAGACCTGAGACAGTGCCCATTACGTAACCGTTTCCCATCCCGGCCTCCCAGGGTTAAAAATTAATTCGTAGCATTGGAATTTTGTCTTCTCCCGAGTCATTTCTAGCCAGTCTTGAGTTGTAAGTAAAGTTCCCCACGAGCTTCATTATGTCTGCTCTCTCATTTGTTTGCTCTCCAATGATCGTGCGACCTCTTGGGAGAGTGGCCAGTTCTCACTGTGCAGAGGTGCCGCTGCTTCAGCGACGTCACAGTTCAGACCTCGTCACAGTAACCTCAAGATTTCTTGTGCTCAGTACTTGGATTCTGCTATGGTGAATGGAGCTCAAAAAAGAACACTTAGGATTTGATTTTCTTACTGTTGCCAAGACATTTTCACTAAAAGTGTCCAAAATAAACTTTCCCTAATACTGTCCTTAGGATCTGGGCCAAAGCACTGCATTAAGAGTGTGTATGAGTGTGCATGTGTGTATAATTTTGATAATCCAATTACTAAAGTCACCTTGGGAGGTTAAGATCTAAGATAAGTCATGCTAAGTGGAGCCTGTAAGGGTGTGACAAGTCTATATTCCCTGTAACAGATTTAGCTGTATTTATTTGGTCAGCATTTACGGAGTGCCTAACATGCAGGTTAACATTTTTAAAAGAATTAAACAGTTTCTTTCCTGAAAGAGTTCACCCTCTGGGAGACCAGCGCACAGCAGGGAATCTTAGAGCCGTCTGTGTTCCGGTGGTGCTGCGCTGGCACTGGTGCGGGGGCCCTGGGGAGAGGGGGATGCGTGGGAGCCAGGTAGGAGGAAGGGTAATGCCTGTGAATTTTGTTTTAGCCATTATAGGTCCTTGATTTTGAAGTTCTTGTCATTTCAGGCAAGTCACTGTTTAAAAAATATATCATAGCTCTATGTTGAAAGGGCTTTTATAAAGATTTAACCCACATGTTTATGTTAGGTTATTATCTTGTAAGGAGAAATCTGAACATAATTACCATCTGGAAAATTTGTTCGAAGTGTGAATGTAGTCTTAATTCCCTAATTTTACTTAACCTCCATTGGAAAAATCTGGGGTAGAAGGAAGTCAAAGGAAAAATGAACTAGTCCTACTATCCAAAGATAAATTTTAATGCTTTAATATAGGTGCTTATGTTTGAGGGTTTTAACTGTAATTTTCCACATTTTTTCTTTTGAAGAAAGCACTTTTTAATTTTAATATGCGTACTCATGCTTACCAGGCCTATTTTATGCCAGAAATCATGTTGGATAATGCAGGGAGGCAGTTGAGAAGAAATACGAGGGCATGGCCTTATCCTCAGTTAGGCAGGAGGCTTTGGAGGGTTTTAGCCCAACAGGCACTGAAAGTAAGTACTGTGGAAATGCTATAATGTCTGTTAATATTCCTCTGCAGGTTCAGAAGGGTTCTTGAAAGGCCCTCTGGCTGAGGAAACAGAGGCATCAGACAGTGTTGACGGAGGTCACGATTATGTCATTTTGGATCCAGAGAGACTTGACCCCAGGCTGGATGCAGAGGACACGTACGTAGGGTCTCCCTGGACAGCTCCAGTGGCATGTATGCCCGTGTGGCTTAAATTATACCTCAGTGGTGCCAGATTTAGTTGGAGCTGGTTGTATCACTTACATCATAAATGAATGTTGGTATCTGGATCTTGTGTCTGGGTCGGATAATGTGTAGTATTATGAAAGAATTCCTGACAGGGCCTTAGGTTATAAGAGTTCAGCTCAGACTTACTATTTTTTAATCTGTTGGATTTTATATTGAAAAAGTTACAGAAACAGTGGAAAATCATCTTTCAGATGAGCTGACAATGTTTTTGTCTGTTCCATTGCCTTGTGGAGCCAGTTTTTCAAAGACATAAGTATCGTTACTGGGCGTTGTGCCTTGAGCCACCAAGTATCCTGTGCCCTTCACATGGGGGCTCAATATCCGAATTGTGTTTTCACAGGGACTTCGAGGAGGAAGACAGCAGCCCTGACTGGGTGTCGGAACTGGGGCAGCGAGCTGGCTGGCCGGGAGGGTCCGATGGGTGATGCCCAAGGAAACGGCCCTCGGTCACGCTGAGCAGACGTTTAAGCTGAAGGATTAATGTTTGGACAATTAGCCCATGGGATGCGTATTTTCCGTGGAAACAGAATGAAGAGGAGGAAACTGGGTATCATTCCTGACTAGGACCATGAGGTTTAAAAAGTCTGCAACTGTTGTTTTTGAACTCAGAGGAGAAGGTGGGGCCCAGCGGGCGTGGGATTCGGGACCTGAGGTCCAAACAGAAACCACTGCGATCTTGGGGAACCACCAACTTCTTTGATCCAAATTCCCTCCGCTGTGCCATGAGGATGCCAAAGCCGCCTCGCAGGCCGTCACAGCCGCCATGATGTTACTGTTTGTGCTGTGATCTGTGTCTGACCGTGTGCCTCTTTTTACATTTCCTAAAGGTTTGAGGACCTAAATATATTTAATTGTAACTAATGATGTGGCTTTTCAATAAGACCTGCTTCTGGGTAGTGACCAGTGATCTGCAGGGACCTTCAGTTCCCGGCCCTCCTTAGATACAGCCCCCCACGGGTACATGAGCGCCCGGTGGAGGGCCCGCCACGGGGAGAGTGGGCGGGGGGGGTGGGCTGCAGGCCTCGTCAGAAGCTGGCAGGCCAGTTCTAGGAGAAAAGAAGAGGCCGAAAGTGAGCGGTGGATGTGGGAAATAGCAAACTAGAGAGTGCTGTGAGCTAATGGGGGCGTCCCGGTGTGCGTGGGTGGCCTGACACCAGCTGGGGCTGGTCATTCAGTCCTGTGACACTTGAGGAGGGGAGACTCTTTTTTTTTTTCCCCATTTCTCTTCCCTTTCATTTTTTAATTTAATTTTTTATTAAGGTATGATTGATGTACACTCTTATGAAGGTTTCACATGGGAAAACAATGTGGTTACTCCATTTACCCATATTACCAAGTCCCCACCCAGACCCCAGTGCAGTCACTGTCCATCAGTGCAGCAAGATGCCAGAGATCCATTGTGTGCCTTCTCTGTGCTACACTGTTCTCCCCGTGACCCCCAACACCATGTGTACAAAACATAATACCCCTCAGTCCCTCCCTCCCCACCCCTCCCCTTTGATAACCACTAGTCTCTTGGAGTCTGTGAGTCTCCTGGTGCTTCGGTCCTTCAGTTTTGCTTTGCTGTTATGCTCCACAAAAGAGGGAAATCATTTGGTGCTTGTCTTTCTCCGCCGGGCTCATTTCACTGAGCATAATGTCCTCCAGCTCCATCCGCGTTGCTGCGAATGGTGGTATTTCTTTCTTATGGCTGCGTAGTATTCCGCTGTGTATGTACCACCTCTTCTCTACCCATTCATCTAGGAGGGGAGAGTCTTTTACTAAAGAAACAGGCTCCTCCCAGGCTGAGGCCCCGCCCCGGAGGGCGCCGCGCGTCGGTCTCCACGGCGACGCTCCCGCTCCCACCCCGCGCGGCCTGGCGCCCCCGGCGTTCGCGGCGCGGCGGCTTCGGGTTCCGCCCCGGGGCGCGGCCCGGGTTCCGGGCCCACCTGCGCCCGCCGCGAGCCCCTGGCGGCACCCCGCGCCCGCTCTCCGCAGGTCAGCGTCGTGCCGCGGGGCCGGGGCCGGCCTTCCCGCTCCTGGGCCGGGCCGGCGCGGTTCCGGGGCACCGGCGGGCAGACCCTACCCACGGGGAGAGGCGCTCCTCGAAAACGCGGTGCAAAAACACGCTGCCTTCGGAGGCACGTAGAGGCGGGCCCCGGCCGCGGAGAAGCACGAGCGGGTGCGCGGGGAGACCCTCGGCCTGTCGGGCCCGGGAGAGCCCGGGTCCCCGCGGACCCCGCGCGCCCCCGCGGAGAAGCCGGGCGGGGACCCTCGCGGGACGTCCCCACCCTCAGTTGCGACGCCGGCCAGCGCCCTACCCTTGAACGAACTGGCAAAAGCAGGTGTTATTTCCATTTTAGCAACTGGGAAAGTGAGGTCATGCGAGGTAAGTGGCGTGCCCAGGCTCACACCCCACGCGGGGGCAAAGGAATCGGGGGCAAGGGGCAGGCGCACCCCGGGGCCCACCGCCAGGCTGAGCCCTGTGCCTGCAGCCACGCGGACAGTTTTACTTGATTCTCTTGCCAAGCTTGGAAGGAAGATTGTAGCAAACTGAGTTCTTTTACAATTTAGTAGCTAATTTTCTGACGTTGTTAGTGTTTATGAAAAGTGTTCGATAAAATTGCGTTGCTCTGATTTCAGAAACCTCCGAGTGTTGGAGACCACGGATCAATACGATGTGATTAAGGCCACTGGGGAAGGTGCCTTTGGGAAAGCATACTTGGCTGAAGGGAAATCAGAATGCGAGCCCTGTGTTACAAAAGAGATCGATTTTGCAAAGGTAAAGAAGTTCACATTTCTGCTCATTTTCAGTGGTGTAATCAGCTGGTTTTTCATTCAGTAAGAAAAGGAATCATTTTTCGGTTTGTTTTAAAAGATTGAACTGTAACTCTCAGGTCTCATTTGTTCCAACTCCTGAGTCCATCGTCCAAACAGCAACCAATGTTTTATTATTAAAAAGGAAAGAAAGAAGAAAAGAAAATAGGATTATATGTATGGTATACCTTAGGGTGGCCGGCGAGGCCTCTGAGAGCCCCCCCACCCTTTTGTTTGACTCAGTTTTGTCCCAGGGCTGTGCACGTTCTCCGCTGTCTCTCCTTGTTCAGTCACCTCCGCAAGGAGGACTTCCACAGACACTGGAGAAGTGGCTCCCGGCCTCCATCCCTCCTTGCCCGACCCTCACTGGGACAACGGTGTCTGTTGGGTCACTTCAGGGGCTTCCTCAAGGCTCCCGCGGTCACACAGCAAACTCCAGTGATGCCCCAGCCATGCCCGCAGACCTTCACTGGGACGGGGCTTAGCAGGGGAAAGGTGACCAGATGTTTCGTCATCTTTGACTCCATAAAAACATAAAACTCATATCTGACATAAAAGCACCATTAGTAAGTTGGAAGAAAATTGTCAGAATGGCAGAGATACCTGCCAGTATTGACTAAAAGGTGCTGGCCTTTTACAAATTAATAATAAGAAAAAACCCATAGCTGAAGGAAACATGATACAAAAATTTCAAACTCACAAGGAAACTGAGAAATGTAAAATAAATCAATAAATACCACAGTCGGCTTACACAGTCGGGAAGGATGAGAAAGAAGAAGTGGCGAGAGGCACTCTTACTCTGCTGATCGGAAGGCAAATCGGAATCACCCTGAAGGCAGTTCATCACTGAGTCTCAAAGCTGCAGAGGATCTGCGCCCAGCAAGGAGAAAGACTCACAGTATGTTGTGAAGATGAAAAAAATCAGGCTGCAAAACGTTGTGTGTATTGTGTATATGTGTGTGTATCTGTGTATATGTATCTGTAAATGTGGGTGTACCTGTGGATCTGTGTCTGTCATGCACACAAGATTAACAGTGATTATTGCTGAGGGGTTTCAATCATCCCTTTCTGCATTGTCACAGTTTTTATTATGGAGCATGTATTATGTTTTTAAAATTATAATTTGTATTATTGGTGTAAGCAGAACAAGCTCCCTTCATTTTTTTGGAAAAAGAAGAGGAAACAAGCGCACAGTCCAGCATCAGTAGTTGTACATTTGGGGGTTTATTCGGAAGTAGGCAAAAGTGTACCGTCAGAAAGCAACTCAAGTATCCAATAGTTGGGGATTGGTTAAGCAATTTATGGAAAACTAGGTGGCTCTTAGAAATCATGTTGTAGGGGTGAAGTACTGACATGAGAAATGCCACATCTGCTAATTGAGAAGTTAGTATGTGTAGAATGATGCCATCTTTGTAGAGATATACGCTTATCTCCATATATAGGTGCATATATACCACACATGCTTTCACATACATACAAGTCACGTGGCCGTGGGGGAGTCAGGCTGCAGATGGAGTTGAGGCTGCTGATCAGCTGACCTTAAATTAGGAGGCTTTCTTGGGTTATTCAGGTGGGCCCTATGTAATCGCAGTCTTTAAAAGTGGAAGGGGGAGGCAGAGAGAGAACTGGAGAGGCAGCGTGAGAGGCAGTCAGTGCCTGCTGCTGCCTGTGAGGGTGGAAGGAGGGGACACGGGGGAAGCAACCCAGGTAACCTGCAGAAAGCTGGGAAAGGTGAGGAAATGGGTTTTGCCAGAAGCCTGCATAAGGAACAGCTGTGCTGACGCCTGCTTCAGATAAAGTGAGCTACAGAGCTGTAAGATAACAAATTTGTCTTTTTAAGTAAATTTGCGATAGTTTGATAAGAGTGATAGGAACATACTACAATTTAAATTCATTCATTTAAAACAATGAGTGCATTTTATAAAATTGTAATCTTGAAATTTTCTAAGTTACACTGAAAACACTTTTTTGAAGCTGCTGCTGACACAGGCGAGTGAGCAAGCAGGCACAGGGCACGTCGTGTTAATGATGCACCAAATACTTTTATTATGTTTTGAATTACTTGCTAACAGTTTCAAATGATAAACTTCTTGAAGGCAGCAACTCTATCTGGTTTTTGTAGTTTATGATGGTCTTTTTATATACAGTGCTTAGTACAGTGCCAGAAATGTTTCTTGAGTAAATGCTAGTACAGTTTCTCCAACACTGTACGCTTGAGGAGGATACTAGACGTGAGCTCTTTGTACTGGTTTTAACAATCCCAGTGATGAAACGTATGCCTGGAGCGTGATGGATATTTGTTGGTTTATTGTGTGTCTGCTGCTAAGGATGGAGTCGTTCTATTTCTCAGTGGTAGAACTCTGCTCTATAATAAAGCTAAAATGCACACTGGTACATTTCTGGACCAAGAAAACAGATGAGGGAGGGTTGCTGAGATTATTTCTAAGGTCTGCTTACTACTTACATTTGGTGTCATTTTATTTAATGTGGGGAATGCACGTGTCAGCATCCCAGGTGGGGGCTGTGTCCCACAGGATGTCTTATACCTTTGCTTTCCTGGTGATGTTTGAGGTGCGGGTCTTCAGCCGGTCGTGCTGAGTCACGCTTGACTCTTCTAGGGAGGGTGCTTAGCATGGTCCTGTCAGGAGGCTGGGAATACTTACAAATTTCTCGTCATTGTGTTCATATCAAACACATGGCCCTGGGGGAGTGGAGCTTCACAGATTCTCATTTTTTAGTGGTGATGACGTCCAGGTCATCATCTGCTGCAGACACGGTCTGCTGGTGTCTTCGTGTAATCGTCATCTGAGCAGTACTTAAAAGCACGGGAAACAAAACACGGTTCCTGAGAACCCCAAAGACCAGCCCACTGTGTGCAGGAGAAGAGAGGATTTTTAAGGTGAATGTTCGGAGGTGAGCAGAGCCGGTCTGCTCCAATGGCAGGACGCTTATCATTCACTCTACGATGTTGGGCTCTTTGCTGTAACTTAGAAAGCATTCATTATAATTATACTATCTGCAGGTTTTTTCAACCTGCTTCAGTCACTATTTCACTTTCCCTATTTTACGTACACCATTAGCTAAATCATGTTCTCAAGGCATGATTATTGCTGGTTGTAGGCTTGGCTGCATCTATGAAGTTGAAACTATTGATCAGACCTATTTGTGTTTTTGGAATAAATTCTGTTAAAAAATCATGCATCTCGATAAGTAACTGTGTATCGGAGCTATCAAATTGATCATTCAATGGTACCAGTAGGTGTACCAACCCATAACCCCCTCTGTCTTGAAAGATTCATGATCCAAGTGAGCGCACAGCACTATGGTCCTGGGACTGATGCTTCTCCGAGGCCAGGGGCCTTCGCCTTGGGCGGGGAGAGGAGAGAAAGGCGGCGGAGGAACACGGGGAGGCAGAGGGTGGATTACAGGCGCCCATTCGGGTCTAGTAACTTGCCTAAGTTCTTGTGGTTTAACAGAAGTAACTTTTTTATTGTGCCCATTGACAGGTTTAGCACAGACACACTCTCACCTATTTGTTTATGCATCCAAGTCCTGGAACCCAGGGTACATTTACACAATTAAACACAAATACTCTGAAAGCACTGACAATCACACTGGCCATGATCTCGTCATTTGTCTGTGACTTTGGAAACTACCTGAAAATTATTAACAAAGTGTATGACACTCTGAAATGTTTCATATGTCTGACATATTCATTAAGAAAAAAAAAGTTATTAAACCTGGCAACCTATTCCTTCTGGGTACCAGAGGCAAGGCAGTTTTGTTTTGCCTTAAAGATTTTTTCTTCTTTCTTAAAAAAAAAAATTCCTGGCATGTGGAGCTTGGAAAAGCTTGGAAACAGTAGTAGGAAATGATAAATAATTCAGGGCGACTCCACGAAGTACAAAGGCAGCCTTCTGGGAAAAGGACCCAAGATCACGAGGATCACATCTGCAGGTCCTGCTTAGATACAGATTGTGCCTATTCAATTTAAGTCATTCTGAGATATGAACACTATGCAAAGAGCATGGAACACGAACTTAATTATACACAACTGTAAATACGAGCGCGAACGGCCCCTGCTGCGGGCTCAGAACGGCCGCTCGGAGCACTGCAGGTGGTGTCTCGCAGGGGTCCGCGGCCGCTCAGAAGCCCCGGACAGTGGCTTTCAGGCTTTCCGTGGCATCATCTTTCAGAAGCAAGCAGACGCGGAGTACCACACTAAGGACCACAGAGGTGGACATACGTGCAAACCATACTTTCCAAAAATGGCTGTGAGGAGTGAAAATCATTTTGTAGAAACAAAGCTGAATGTTTTCTGGAATTGCAGAATCCCTCGTTCGGACATCCTTGACTTCTGCTCTGTCCATTTCCGTTTCTATATCTTCAGTCCATGGTTTTGCTTGGGTAGGTGCTGGGCTGAGTGGGCAGTCGTAGGAGTCCGACCTCAAAGGCGAGCTCTAGGGTGCGGAAAAGCATGGGGCTGGGGGCAAAACCACCAGGTTACAGTCCTGACACTGTCATCACACGGCTTTGTGATACCGAGGTCTAAGTTCTTTAAACTGTCCTTTTCTGTAAAGTGGAATGTAAGAAAACTACATGATTCGTAGGGTTCCCTGCAGCTCCAGTGTCCACCCGTCGTCCTTTTCTAGACGGGATGATCTCCCCCAGTGTGTCAGAACGCCCTGGGCTGTCTTCCTGCCTTCTGATCTGGGCACAGAAGATGGCCTGCCGAGTCGACAAGCAGTTGGGATGAGGTGGTGATGCCGCCTCTATCCACAGATGGATGAGTGATTACAAAGGACACATACACGCCCTTCCACATGCCTCTACCACCAAGATGTGTCCAGCGCACGGGCAGCCGGTTCGCAGCACTAGAAGGAACTGGTCACATATGCAGGAAACGCCAAAGCTGCAGGTCCTGTGGCCATGCCTGCACGCGCACATTCCCTTCCCACGCTCGTCCTTCTGCAGGTCCTGCTAAGTCACACTGACAGCAGCTTGGTAACCGAGAATCTGCCGAGGCCTGATGCATGGATGGACAAGGATTACAGGATGTATCTGGGATATATTGCTGCCTTTAATTACGGTAACTTTTGTAATTTTCATCGCAGAGACGGGTGTTCTTCCCCAGGAGGCGTCCAGATTACAGAGCTCGGTCAGGCCCAGGTATTCTGCTAACCGGATACTCTTTTCAAATGCCGCCTCGTCTTCTTACAGAGCGTGAGGCTGCTCCTAGAGACCGCGGATTCGTACGTGCCGTCACCATAGGCCAACGGCTTCCTGTGCCCTCTCGCTCAGACCTCCAGTGCCGTAAAGCCCACTCCCAGCCACGGAGATGTGGAGATGCTAAGGACGCCGTATGGGCAGCAGGCGCCACAGCGCAGAGCAAACTGCCCTCTGGGAACGCCTGGCCACGGGCAGCCTCTGCTCCTGGCTGTCTGCTCCCAGAACGTGGCTGAGCCTGCGTGAAGTCTCTTTTGTGAGAAAGGTCACCCACAGTACTGTTTTGAATTTAAATGTACTTAAAGTTCTTCACAGAAAAAAATAATTTTTTGAATGATTCTAAAGTATTGATCAGTCATCCATTTTCCTCTCAACATTACCTTTTTTTTTAAGAGGACAATTACCTTTCTTGGTTTCTAAAATTAAGTGATTTGATAAAGAGAATTTGAAAAATATGATTATACCAAAATTAAGACTGTTTTTTTCTTTCAGATCCATTATTTTTCAAAATTTGAAACCAAATGCCAATTAAAAATTTTTACATTTAAGCCATATAAGGTTACCACTTAGATAGTTTACCTTTTCTCACTGAAATATATGCCCTGTCTGTAAACATACTGAGAGCGCTGCCTAGGCAGACGGGGTTACAGGCGAGTTTAGAAAAATATTAACATACGAAGGTGTTTGGCCATCTTATATAAGAAATCTTTAATCTGTACAGATATGGCGTTATTTAAATAAACTCTCCACAGACGACAGGAATGACACCTCAAACTCCTGGTCGGAGAACCTGCTCACAGACGCCCGGGCATTATTCCTGATTTGAAGTCTCTTCTCTGGAGACATGGAAAGAATATGGGCCATGGTCTCAGCGTAGCCTTCCTCACCGTCGGCCAGAAACCCCGTTATCGCCCCAGCGTGGGGAATGACGATGTCAAGCTTCGGGCCCCCTGAATCGTGTGCCAGGATAACCGTGCCAGCAGCCATACACTCAACAACTCCTGAGAAAGAAACAAAAACCATGGAGGCTTTTAAGCTCATAAGAACAATGATGAGCAGAAACTATTACAGATTTTAAGAAACTCATGAGAAATTTAATTGTTTGTTGTATCTGCAAATTTGTTCATTTAACTTCCCATGGTGTAAAATAAAATAATTTTAAGTTTTTCAGTTTTCAAAGCTTCACAATAAAGCTTTCATTCTTAATTAAAATAGACAAGTAGATGAAGAATAGTCTACAAAAATAAAGGTGCCCTGCAGATAATGGACCTGTGGAGACCAAGGGCAGGCCGCCCCCAGATGTGCTGCTCAGACACGCAGGTTACTGCGAGCGGAAAACCTCCAGGGCCCAGACTCAGGAAGAGACTTTGACCTCCTACCACCTGTGGATAAAGTGAAGGTTCCTGGGGCCCGGATTCTCCCCTGGCCCGTCAGCTAGCTCACTACACACATGTGGGCAATACCTTGCTATTGGCTTTATATAAAGAGCCCTGCCCAGTGCTCTGGGCGACACTGTGGCACGGCTGCAGGGCTGCAGGAGAGCAGAGCAGAGGCTGGAGTGGTGGCAGCGCCGAGGACAGAGGCCCAGAGGACGGCTGTGCAGGCAGAGGGGCCCAGAGGCAGAGACCCGCTGGCTGCATGCAGACTTGCGCTGAGTGGACAGGATTCTAGTGACTGACCTGCCACAGTGGGAGTAAAGTTGGGTATAAACCCTTTCACCCCAAGAACATCGTATTGTTATTCCCTCGGTCTCACTGAATCCATAGTGAACTTGCCTGGGGCTGAAACCCACTGGCAGGACACCGCCCAACTGTATAAAAAGAATTAGATGGAACAACTAGCTCACCAGGAGGAGAGTAAGCACCTGTAGCTATGTTATAATGTAAAGTAGGGGTGACAGGAAGGAGTGTGACATTTCCCTTGGTGGCCTGTCAGGCATTTGGTTTCCCAAACATTTGCTCTTTCATGCTCCTGTGAGTTGCCTCCCTTCTCCTTTGAAGTCTCAGGCCCCGACCCCCTTCTCCTGGGTTCGGGCAACACGTACACCTGATTCTGCTGTCTCTGGACCCTGTGTCTACGGCCGCCCCTCAAGTCTCTATGACCCTTCGGTTTGCTTCTCCTGTCAATCTGTCTCCCATCAGTTGGATTCTTAGACCAGCTAGAAGAAGAACCTCAGGGCGTAGGGGAAACTTCTTCCTCCCCAACAGAAGAAAGGAGACTAGAGAATGTTAGCAAGATGGTAGATAATTGATGGCTATTGGAAGACTAAAGTAGTAAAAAGATATGAGAAGCAAAATTTTAAGAGTTCAAATTACAGCATTAGGAGGAAAAAAAAAAAAGCAAGCCGCTCCAGTGAAGCAAACGACAGCTGGCGTCTCTGGCAGGTCTGAGATACCATGTGCCCAACAGCAGTGCTGACCTAATGGCAGCTTCGGTCAGTTTCTGCCACACGATGGAGGTGAGGGCCTAAGTCCTCTGGCCCGCCTTCCTTACCCCTGCTCCCCGGGACGCTGGCCCTGTATAAGACGGTCTGACCATTTTCTCAGCTCTCCGGATGATGGCTCACAGCTGATGACCAGAGGAAAAGTGAGATCGTCACAACTGCTTCTTCAAGGCTGGGCACGGTTCCCGCACACTCAGACACTGCGGTCTGCTCGGTCGCCCCTCTCCCGCCCTGCTGGGCCCTTCCTAGCAGCCGGGAGGCCGGCTCAGACTCGGTTAAAAGCAGCACGAACACACCGGCTCAGGTCACAGCCGCTCCCCCGGCTACTGTCTCTTCTGTCACCTCCCTCCACAGATGCACTCACAGGAAGTGTAGTTCTCGCCAGCTCACCCCACTCGCTCTGCTGCAGACCCTGCCTGTCTTAGCACAACGGGCCCCTCGCCCCACGCCCCCAGCGCAGTGGCTCTGGGCCAGCTCACGGAGGACACCGGGCGGCTGGGCCATCTGCTGCCGGCCCCTTCCCCGGACACTCCGCCCCGCTGGGGCTCCCCTGCCACTACTTCCCCCTCCACCGGCTCCTCTGCCCTCTGCTGCCCTGCCACCCTCCGCGTTCTGTCCCGTGGGCGTCTCCTCACCCTACCAGGCGAGCCTATCCTCCGCCTGCATGTCCAGCTCAGGCCCCTCCTCTGACCTTCAGACTCGCAGACCACTGCCGACTGGACACACCCTTCCATGTCCCTCAGACAGTTCACACCGTCCACGCCCCCAACCGGGCTCCTCAGCCGCCGCTCCTGCCGGACCCCCTCCCAGGTGAGGCCGTCCCCGCTCTCTCACCTCACTAAGAACCCGGGTGCTGACTCCTCTCAGGAACACAGTTTATCACCAAGCACTGCTCACCGCTACGGCAGAATCGCGCTCGGGCAGGGTTGGCGGCCAGCACCCTCCACAGGTGGCCTCAGCAGCCCCCCGCCCCTCACCAACCCACCTGCACAGCGACCAGAGTGAACTTTAGGGGACGGCTTTTGACCAATAATAGACACCCTCCTAGCTTTTCCCACTGGCTTAACGGGGCCCCGTGCTCTGGCCCCAGACCGCCTCTCCACAGTCACTGCTCCGCCTGCACACTCCTGCCACCCTGAGCTCGCAGCTCCTGGAGGTGCCTGCTACCCCTGCCGCCATGCCTTCTGCCGACGGGCTCCCCTCTTCTGCATGGCTGACTTGTAACCACTGCTCAGGTGCCAGCTCACGTGTCACATCACTTCCTTGGGCAACTGCTTCCTGACTTGGCAAATCATGTTCCCAGCGCCACCCACAGGCTGGCACAGTCGACCTCAGCGTGTACACGCGGGAGCAGCACAGGAAGTCAGGCCGGTGCCCAAGGTTTGGGCCGGCGCATTCTTGCTGTGAGCACTGGGCTGCCACCCGGGGGCACAAAACGGTGTCAGAGAAGCTGGAGCCTTCGTACAGGAAACTTCACTCTCATGTTTCTGGTTTTCCCTGAACACCAAGCAACGGGAGGCACAGAGTCGGCCCTCAAGAAACGTATGTCGGACCGAATCAGACACAAAATGTGTATGATTTTATACAAAAATGTGTGAATAACAGGAAGTCAGAGTAGAGAGGTCCTGCCTCTTTTTTGTTGTACTACAACAAGTAAGAAAAGCTAAATTAAAGGGTGAGGAGATTTAAGTTCAACACATGCAGGATTCGGCAGAAAGAAGAGGGGAGGCCATTCACTGATGAGCACAGAACCAATGAAAGAAGCAGTTGCTGTGAGGCCACCGGCCGCCCAGCCTTTGTGCACGACCACATCCCCTGGGGGCTGGCCCACAATGCACCCAACCTGGGCCCCACCCGGACAGTCCGATTCGGTCCCTCAGTGGGCCTGGGTCAGGCCAAGGAATCGGTACCAGCATGCAGATGGGCTAAGTCGGGAGAGAAGGTGTGGTAGGTAAGAGCAAGGGCTACCTGAGTTAGACGCCAGGCTCTGCCTGGCACTGTCACTGAACTGGGACAAGTTCTAGGACTCCCTGTACCCAACTTCCACTCCTTACAAGGTGGAAATAACAACGCACACCACGTCGGGGCCCAGGGAGGAGTGACTCAGATGACACTCAGGACGAGCTCGCCAGGGCCTCACATGCCGTTAGAGGCCAGTAAACACGAGCCGTCCTCACTGAGCACGTATCACTGCCGGGCGTGAAAGGAGGCAAGCATACGTGGTGACTGGGAGAAGCAGGACTCGATGAAAACTTCCAGTGTGTCATCATTCCATCAAAAGAACCTACTGTGTACGTCTCACAACACCAAACAAGCTGTTTAAAGGACAAGCTCACCAATCCCAAAATGCTCATTCCACATGGTATGCAGACCAATTGTTGCTTCTGACAAGTAGTTCTTTAATTCATCGAATGGAATGTTTATTTTAAATTCCACAGCTTCTTGAACTCCCAGATCCTCTGACAGCCTTCTCAGGTGGTTTACCCGACGTTCGTCATCCTGGTTACGACAACCTCCAATGAGGATGAGCTTCAGGGCAGGACGGGGCTCAGCCACCTTCTCACTCAGCAGCTTAGCAAAGGCTCTGATCTGCAGAGGGTGGTTCTTCTCAGGCCTGAACTGGCCGACAGAGACCAGTAGATGGCCCGGGGCCGCCTCTGCCTCGCATAGGGGAATGTCCAGAAAGGCCTGCACGTCACATGGCGGGTAAACAACGCTTGTGCGGTTCCCGGCCTTCCACAGGGAGAGAATGTGGTTCAGAGTCCAGGAAGAATTGACCATGACCACGTCACTGCAGGAGCCGGCCAGCCCGTAGACGACGGCGAAGATGCGGTAGTAGGCGAGCTTGACTCTGCTGAGAACCGGATTCCTGGTAATGAAGGCTGCGTTATTAAACCCAACATTTTGATTCTGCACTACAGAGAGCATGTCCGTGCTGACAGTGGGGTAGTGAACATAGCTTCCCACTCGGCAACCGCCTAAATACTTAAACAGAGGAAGCGTGAAGGCGTAGCCCATTGAATCGATGTAAACATCTGGAACACACTGCATCAGAGCTTCCCAGCCAAGAAGAATGGATCCGAGACTTTGGCCCAGCAGAGTGAAGTGAGGATAGAGTGAATCTTCCACAAGGTAGCGTTTCCTTAAGAAAACAAACCTCACGGGGCGAATCAGCCTGACATTAAACCTTCTGAAAGCCCCTTCCAGCATCTGCTGGCTGCTGACATCGACATCACCGGTATAAACAACATAAACTGCTTCAGGATACCTGAAATAGAACAGAATGGTTAACAATCTCATGCATTTAGGTTAAAATCAAGCAGAAAGTTGTAGATAATTATCTCCTCACAAGCATAAAGAAGCTTATTTTTAGACTAAAAACTGCCCTATGATTTTCCTCTTAACTGCATCTGGACCACTGGCTCCACCCTCCCACTGTCCTATGAGCAAACTGCCAAGTCTTCCAAGTGAGACTTCTAGTCCTTTGCTATCTCCTCTGCTAAGTTTCACACAGAGCAGACACCAACCAAAACTGACTTATGAATGACATTCTCTTTTCAAGAAACATTCAGAAATTTTGATAACTTTCTCAGTATAAAATGGTAATGAAATAGTAATAAAATACTCATAAATGAGGTAGAAAATTCACTGAAAGTATGTTTAGGTAGGATCAGAAATGCTAATGCTTCGCCCAGTGCGTCCATCCGAGGATGCACTGAGGCTTCAGGGCCGTCTCTTGTAGTGCAGCACAACAAGGCAGGACAGGGTCAGGCCGGAGATACGGACACGTGCACTCGTGACTTCCAACGTGTTGGTCTCTTTCTGACTCTGCTTGTAAGTGTTCTTTGAGGCATAACCATCTACCACACATCTCGCATGAGCTACTGGGTTCTGGGACCTCGGGATGAGGAGGAGCCCTTACCCTGAAGGCGCTTGGTCCCGGGGGGAAGGAGACATAAACAGACTGCAAAGCTGTGTGCTGTGCACTGGGGGCGAGCGCAGGGGGCGGACACTTGAGCGACGAGCATCGGACGCTCCTGCCTCAGGCCCCTTCCCAGCAGCAGGACTGGTCCTTTTAAAAGGTTCAGACTTGTCACCTCTGGTCGCTTGAAGATGGCCACAAATTCTTGGACACTGTTCTCACTGACAGGTGGGATCCATGTCTGCTCTCTGGGAATGACAAGGTTCTGTGACTGCTTTTACCACGAGCTATGGCAAAAGTCACGCCATGCCCGTTTCTGGACACAGGCTCTGAGAGACTGGCTGCTTCTGCTGTACCCAAGGTGGCAGTTCACGGGACAAGTCTGACTCTCCCCATGGCACCATGGGGTGCGCAAGCCGAGCTAGTCGGTGGGGGACAGGGGCCCAACCAGCACCCCCCACTGCGGTCTCAGTCATCCCAGCTCAGGAGCCTGGTACGTAAGTGCAGAAGCCGTCAGATGGCCCCGGCCCCAGCTGCCGTCTAGCTGCAACAGTCTGCGTACGAGGGATTCCAAACGGCCCGTCAGCCCCCAGACTGTGGGAAATAATATATTCTTGTTTTAAGCCATTAAATTTGGGGCTGTTTGTTATGCAGCAACAGATAAGCAGAACATCATCTGTTTAAAACCTTCATACGGTTTTCCACAGCACCTGGAATAAAATCTAAAGTCTTTCCTGTTCACTCAACCCTGTGCCATCCCGGCCGTGGCCTCTGAAACCTCCACGTCCGCCCTCTCCCTTGCCCACCGGGTGGGGTTCAGCCAAGCTGGGCTCCTCCCCTTGCGCAGGCCAAGCTCCTTCCGGTCTCAGGGGGTCTGTAGTGGCTGCTCCCTCTGCTTGGAACTCTCTTTTCTCATCTCGTCTTCCAGGACAGTGTGGCACGTGGTTTAGATCACAGTGAGGCAGGCAGGGACATGGGACAAGGGCCAGGCCATTGTAAAGCCTACTTAGCCTGTGAGAAAGGCCCAGCTTAGCGTTAACCTAATCTGTAGGCTGTTCTCCGTCTTCTCCCAGCCCCTTAATCAATTTAGTAACTTTGTAACCAGGACAGGAGATGGCCCTCCGGAACCTGTGTGGATGAAGGATGCCAAGATCCGGACCAACACGGTCACCTAAATGAGCCCATTCTTAAGACAAAACTTCAAAGGAATTATAATCACTTGTGTACATCATGCCTTATGCTGACCGCTACCCCAACAGCCCTGTAACACCCCAGACCCTAAGCCCTCAAGTGTGCCTCCTCTCTGAGGCTGCCCACACTCCCCTTTCTTCGAGTGTGTCCCTCTCTCTGTTCTATTTCGGGTAAGCAGGGAGGGGCCACCGAGAGCTCTGATTTGGGCTCCCAGGTCCCCGTGGCCTGGGCGACCGAGACGGGACTGCAGCTGAACGATCTGCTCCTCAGCAGCCTGCCTGAGAATCTCCTCTGTCTCTGGGAAGTTCTCAGAACACAATCTCACTCCACCCAGTGCTCTGCGGCTCCCCCAAATCCTGGGGTGGTGGGGACTTAGTTCTCACGCCCTGCAGTCAAGTGGACACTGGAAGTCAGGGGAGCCCTGCTTCAGGAGTTGGCAAGGGATGTGCCCCGTGCCGAGCAGTTCAGTGAGCTGCCTCCCCACTGCCCTTCTGTGCTCGCTGCTGCCTGCACGGCTGCTGCCCTTCCCTGCTGCTCCCGCGCCAGTGAACTCCTTCCTTACCCGCACTCGTCCGACCTGCTGGGGAATTCTTTCTCGTTCAGAGTCAAGAACTGCCCCCGTCCAGGCTGGGGTTTCACCTACTCCTTTACCTAGTGTGTGGGGAGCCTGCCCAGGTGCAGAGCCTGGCAGCAGGCGGCTTAGTTTCTTCATCTGTCAAATGCGGGTGACAGTAACAACCTAGTAAGGTTGTTATGAGCATTGTGTGACCTGACAAAGGCAGGGGCCAAGGGCAGGCCACCCCAAGATGTGACGCGCTGACATGCAGGTTACTTGAGCCGCAAACCATCAGGGCCCAAAACACTCAGGAAGAGAGTTTATACCCCACCTCCATCAGCGACTGGATAGAAATTAGACGGAGGAGCTGCTCCTGGGGAGTGAGCAGTGTAGCTATATCATAATGTGAACTAGGGGTGACAGGAAGGGATGGCACAAAGCCTGCCTGTTAGCATTTCCCTTGGTGGCCCATCAAGCATTTTGTTTACCAAACATGGACTCTTTCATATTCCTGAGAGTTGCCTCCCTTCTTTGAAGTCTCAGGCCCTGACCCCCTCTGGGGGTTCAGGACGACACCTGCACCTGAGTCAGACTGTCTCTGGAACCCACCCCATGTCTGCAGCTGCCCCGCATGCACGGAATGAGACTTTGGTTTGTCCTCCTGGCAACTGGATCCTTGACCAGCTGGAAGAGCCCTGGCAGGTAGAGGAAATTTCTTCCCAATACATGCAAGCCACTTCCAACAATGCCTGGCATACAGTGAACACTCAGTATATCTGAGTTACTTCTGTCATCCAGACTCCAGTTAAGTATTACCTCCTTGGAGATGTTCCCTAATCCATCTAAAGTATCAAGTCACTCTCTTATTATCCTATTTTAATTTCCTATATAGCATTTCTTATGTGTTGTTTTTCTTCTTTGCTTATTATCTCATTTCTCTCTCAATTAAAATATAAGGTCCATGAGAGGGACCTGATCTACCCTGTTCTCCATTTAATCTCAACTCCTAGACAGTGCCTGATACACAGGAAGTTCCCAGTGTACATCGCTAGACTGAATGAAAGGTGTCCTTCCTGTGTCTTATGCTGTGGCAGGAGAGACAAACAGGAATCAACAGAGGAGAAAACTTAACTGCAGAAAAAAAGGAACATTTTATGGGATGGCAGGAATCTAGAAGGCATGCTGTCCCTCGCTCAGCACGCTGGAGCTACATACGTGTATGGAAGGAACGGGGATGGACGAGAAACAATGTGTCCTGGGGAAAACAAAGAAGTATCTTCTGTCATGCTGTACCGGTGTGTGTTTGGAAGGCAGGACAGGCGGGGAATACAGGCAGCAGAGCCAAGGGACTGCTGAGCGACAGCTCTGGAGCTGAATGTGGGTGAGCCGGAGAGCAGCCAGAGAGCAGCCAGGCCACGGGGGACAGCTTCCCGCACGTGCTGACACAATGACCAGCCTGCACTTCGCTCCCTGTGCTCCTTCCTCAAAGGGAGTCATCAACATCCGTGGGGTGGGGACAAGGACGGGGGAAAGGAGGCCTAAAACCTTAAATGACCAGCAACACCGTATTGTCTGACGTGGTAATTTACTTTACTTCAGACTAGCGGGTGATGATATACACAAAATAGAATCAAATAGATGCTTTCACAGAGATTATTTCCTGTGGGCCACGGCTGACTTGAAGTACTCAGGTTTAAAGTGCCCCACAGTACTTGGTCTCTTTCTAATTTTCAATCTCTCCTCCACACACTCTCCCAAGGTGACCAGGTGTTCTCACTAAATTGTGCCATAAAAGGGCAGATACTTTCTAAAAGGGTAAGATGGGACACAAACTCCAGTCCAAGCAGTTTTATTGCTAAACCTGAGAGGGACCCCTCCGTTCTGGCGAGCAGAACAAAGAAGGGGTCTCTTACAGACTAAGAGGCTTTTATGGCCAGGTGTTTCAGCGGGCTTTGGAGGGGAGGGGTCAGGGAAAAGGTGTGTGGCTTGCTGACGTGTCCTCAGGAGAACGCTCGTAGCTTAGTAAGATGAAACCTAGTCTCTTAGGTGATGGGTGGGCTTATTCAAAAAGGTGGTCCTCCTGCCGGGCTCTATCGTTTCCCCTTTCCATTTCGTTCTTACATCAACTAAAACATGATAGGATCTTGTAAGGCAGGTTGGCAAATGACAGAAGTATTTGCTTACTGAGAAACAGTTAAAAAAGAAACTCTTAGCCATGAATAAAGTGCTGGAGAAAGATGAATTTCTTGTTAATGATTTTTTAAAAACGGTCACAATGTAGCCAATTAGTTAAGAAAGATGCATACCTACTTTTTCTGCAGGGCCCTTAGAGCACACCATAGAACTCTTTCCCCTCCGCCACCAGCATTGCAGTATGGGTGAAAAAATGCGATCACCACGTGGTTCTTCCCATTTGTGCTGGTTGACGCTGCCCTCTTCTTCCCCTGTAGCAGCAGCCTGATTCCCCAAAGGATCATGAACAAACATATACACAAAGTTCCACACACAATCAGCCCAGGGAGGAATAATGAGTAAAAAAACCTGAAACGAGAGGAAAAACGTAAGACTTGGTATAATGCCCACTCAAGAGTTAAAACTATAAATTCAACTCAACTTTTACATATCCCCTTTACATACTAGTAGCAAAGAAAGGAAATTTTTATAGCTTGGGAGTCTGCTAACAAAATACTCATAATTCCAACGCCACAAAATAAGCAGTATCCAAAGTGCCAGTCCTCCATAATCCCAAGCTCCATACATGCCAGAAGTTTAATGCACTTCTCCTTTTTAATCGGCGGTAAAAATCCACACTGAGCCACTTTTCTCCCAACTCAGTGTATGTGTTAGGGGATTAAAAACAAATTTAATTATTAACCTAAGCAAGACACGGTTAGGAATGGCATCTGGCCCTCGAAGTGACAACATAAAGAAATACGTCCTCTGAATGATCAGTATTTCATTAGTTACAAGCTTGGTGAGATGGTCATTTTTATTCTCTCACTTCACCTGAAGGAGAACAGTTTCCAGGGTGAGACGAATAGAATTTAGACTTCTCTGTCACAAGTTCTGCACTCCACCAGTTTAGATGACCCTCAAGTCACTGCCTTTCTCTATGTGCCTCTGAGTTGCCAAAACCCCATTGTGTTCCACCTCACTCGCCTGTCCCTGCCCGGCTGACTGAGGCTTGCTCGCACTGTATCCCAGTGCCTAACATAATCCCCGACACAGGGAAGGCGTTCAATAAATATTTGTTGACTGAATTCAAAATTTTATTACCTCCTCAGATGTCTTAGATTATGTTAAAACCGTTTTTCAAGGTGTGTTTTTCTCAGAGTTGGACGATATAGTTGTTACCAAACCTAGAATTTTTTATACCCTGCCTACCCTTTGTAAAGGATTTGAGGGGCTGGTAAGACATAAGAGCAATAAAATACTAAAGCTTAAATAATGAGAAGTCAAGCACAGGGAAAGAGAGTGAAAATGTTGGTGGGAGAGGGCATTCAGGTGGTGGGGCAGAGACGCAGGCTCTCTATTGGTACCTAGGTGTGAACAGCAGACAGCTGTGGGCTGCTTAATGACCAAACCAAATGCCAGGATATTTTGTGTAATTACATAGTTTTCATTGTACATAAACTGAAAACACAAATTCTTCAGAGAAGTATCTTAATGATATTTAGTTTTGAAGTAAGTATCTCGTGTGGGATTTCTCATTGTGAACAAGTCCCTTAAAGAGGTATTTGACTTGTGAAAATAATCTGGTTTTAGGACATCTTTGTATTCTTAAAAATTACCAAGGACCTCATACAGCATTTGTTTACATCACGGTTTCCAACCTTGGCAGTACTGATGTTATGGACCAGACGGCTCGGAGTGCTGGGCGTCCTATACACTGTGGAATGTTTGGCTGCATCCCTGACCTGCACCCGCTGGACACCAGTAGCACCGCACCAATCATGGCAAAATTATCTCGAGGCGTTGCCAAGTGGCTGGAGGGGCAAAACCACCCCTTGTTGAGAACCAGGGATTTACACTGATCATATGCAGCAATATGTAGCATATGAGAAATGAGAAATGAGGAATAAAAAAAATATTTATTAAAAAATGACAAATCTACTACATATTAACATGTAACATTTTTATTTAAAAAAAAAACACCTTGTATTTTCCAAATCAAAAAAAGACATTTAGTAAAAAGGGTGTCATTTTTTCAAAAATTTTGCAAATCTTTTAAATGTCTGGCTCAACAGAAAGCCGTGGCTTCTCAAATGTGCTCTGCACTCAATTTACAGTGATGTGTTGTGTTATTTCAAGTATATGAAGAAAATCCAGGCTCACTCAGATGTATTAGGAAGAGAAAGGCATATATTTAAGGAGCATTTTCAGACAGTAACAGGTGTTTTTCTGTTTTACTATACCAAATTAGACAAGTGACAGTTTCTTAATGGTCAGTTACATGGAATACACAACCCTATCATGGACCTTTCATGTTCTGTTACCTTGAAATCTCTTAGTCTATCTTGCCTTTTGAATGGATCTTACCTATACATGATTTTGAACACATGACTTAATTTTTGGAAAACATTGGCTCATGACTTCTGCAGACTTTCCAAATGTTAACACACTTCATGTACAGTATGGAGGGATCACATCTGTGAATATCAGCAACCATCTCATCAAGAAAATCCTTTAAGTACTGGAATTCAGAGTGTTGCTCTGAATGGCAGACGAGTTTTCTCAAATTCTAATTTTCACCTGAAAGCTCAAACTTTATCATTAGCAACGAGTTCGGTCACTTGTTGTCTTGGAAGTGACAGGGTCACTTCATTCTTTTCAAGAAAATATGTACCAAATACCCAAGTGAGAAGAACTAGTTTATCTAATCAGTTGTTCTTTCAAGTGGAAACCAAGTTGCATAAAAAATGTCTAATTCAGCTTGCAACTTGGCTATCACACTAGAGTGTTTCCTTGAGATAACATACTTCAGTGTGGAGAAGTTGTATAGAATATTAAGAAGATACATACTCAACAAAATGAGTAATTTTTACTGTTTCATGAAGGACATTAAGTAAAAGTGGCTTTGGCAAGTGCATGGTGGGGAAAAACACAATGACCACTACACCATGAGTACAGGTCGATGTCACTGCCGTGATTTGTGCCAAGCAGCAGTTTTACCCACCATTACTTTTGCACTGTCAGTGCAAATGTCAACACGGTGTAAAAAAAAAGTCTTATTATTATAAAAACAATTTTGACCTTGAGGACCTACTGAAAGGATCTTAGGGACTTGCAGAGTTGTAGGGATCACACCTTGGGACCACTGCCCTAAAGGGTAAACAGAACCTGATAAAAGTGGTAAGACTTGTTATGTGTTTAACATTTGGAATGTACCAGTTCACAGCAGTAGTATTATAGGAGATAGTTTGCTTTCCCAAGGACAAGTCAAAAACCCGTTTAACTTAAAATTACCTGACCCAGAGTCCAAAGATTTTTATGGTATTTCCTTTAAATGATTTAAGTGGGAAAATTCATGTGAGAGGGCTTTAAAATTGAACTATCTGACCTAAAATTAGAAAATAAAAAAACTCCTATTATGACTGAAGTTGAACCAGTCCTGAGTCTAAGTTTCAAAGACACACAGGTTCTATAAATAAACGTTCCTACTTGCCTATCAAAATTACCCATTTTATAATTTAAATTAACAAAAATGTGCATTAAATGTTTACCCATATAAACACAAGGCTTTAAAAACATAACTGTAACCAACATTCAGCAAACATTTATTTAGCACTATTATGTACAAAGCCCTGGGGTATTTCAAAAGGCCAGAAAAAATACGAAAGCTCTGAAAATACATTTTTCCAGTTCAAAATGTTTCAAATCATCATTACAGAATTTGAAGTGGAGGTGACAAAAATGAAGAAATACTTGAATTTTGGAGAGAATAGTCTCCTAAATTTCGGACCTGAACAAAAATAAGTAGGTGTTAAAGAAGAACTGCGTAGGTAGAATATACTAGATGTTGTTTTATTAGTGTAGGCAAGGCCCAGAAAATACAGCAGCATTCAACAACAAATGTGAAAAACAAGTCGGAGTTTTTTCACCAAAATGTTAACAGTCATCATTTCCGGATAGCAGCAGTCCTGGAGAATTTTGTTTTTCCTCGTCTATTTCCTAACTTCCCTACAAGAAACAATGTATCACCACATAATAAGGATACAGGTAATAATGCTTTATATAACTATTCTTACATCAAACAAACAAACATCAACAGATGATCATAAGAGGATTCAACACGAATTTTACGCTTAAATGACACAGGTTAACGACGACAGTTTTGGGGAAAGATAAACGAGAAGATCCGGTTTCTTCTTTACAAAAAAGGGGCACGACTGAAAAATGGTTCATGGCTCAATTATAAAGGAAAATGAGGAGTAAATCATGACACACGAATTGTAGTGCGAAAAACAGCGAGCGCCTCAGCCGGAGGGAGGCCGGGAAGCGGCGCGGTGAGCGGGGTTCTCCCTCGGGGCCCGGCCTCGGGCGGCCGCAGCGACAAGCGTCGCGGCCAGGAGAGCCCTTCCCCGCACACTTTAGCTGCACCGCCGCGAAACAGATGACCCCCTGGGCCCAGACCGCGGGCTCCTCACCTCAGAATCCCGCATAAGCACCAAACCCCTCTGGCAGCCGCCATCTTCCGCCAACCCCCGAACTCCGGAAGCGCTTCGCTGTCCCTCTTCTCTATTGGCTCCTGAGGAAGCGTGGGTGCCCCACCCCGCCCTCGCAGCGCCCAGAGCTCGTCCCGATTGGCTACTGTGGAGCTTCCCACGCCACCGCAGCCAATAGTGTTTCTGGGCGTAGATGAGTTTTCACGTGGCTCACAGAGGTCTCAGCCCCCTATGGGCGGGGCCGTAGCGGGAGCTACTCTGGGGAGGGCGTGGCTTGTGACGGACAGGTGCCCCCGGGCCCTCCCTGGATGCCCCCGCGCCCCCGCCCCCGCCCCTAGCGCGGAGCCCGCCGCCCGTTGGAGACCGACCAGCAAGCAGCTCTCTCGCGCCGTGGATCGGTTTCCCAGGTGCGGAGTTTACTCCGGCGGCGCCCGGGCGCCGAGCCGACCGACGCCGGAGGCCGCCACGCCGCACTGTTCTGCCGGCCTGGGGGCGAGCCCCGGGGTGTGCGTTTCGGGCCCGGGTCTGCGCGGCTCGCCCGCCCTCCTCCCCGCCGCGGCACACGCCGGAGGCCGAAGACCCGGAGCGCAGCGCCTCTGCCCGAGGTAGCGGACACTCGGGGGCGGCGGGCGGGTCGGTCCCCCGCCAGGGCTCCCGGCACGGCGGGCGTGGGGGTCCGAGGCCCGCCCTCCGCTTGCGCTCCCTGCCCGGGCCTCCCAGGGGCCAGGGGCGCTGCGGCGAGCAACTCGGAGTCAGCTCGTGGGGGGCGGCTGCTGATCCTGCTCCGGAATGCCGGGGCGGGTCCCGCGCCCCCTTGGTGGCAAGGCCGAACCGCAGAGGTGCCCCCTTACTCCTGGGAGTAACCACGCGTCTCCCCCACCGAGCGGTGCGTCTGGGCTCCGCGCCGGGTCGGGAGGACGCTGCCTGAGGTGCGCAGGTAGGTGACCGGCGGGCAAGCAGCTCTGCCGAAAGTTTCCAAGTCCCGCGCTGCGTGCTCCCGCCCACCTGGCGCACAGGCCACGCCCGCCGGGGGTCTGGCCACGCCCCCGGGTGGCTGGCCACGCCCACGCGGTCCGTGCTGGGCTGTCGCTCGCGCGGAGGGCCTGCCCTGGGCTGGTGCTCGGGAACGGGTCCGACCCTGCGCTTCTCCCTTGTCCTTATGCTGTGAAGGGGTGTGGAGCCGGCGAGGGAAAGTGAGCGCGGCGTTGCCGCTCTAGATGATTAGTGAGTCACCTGAGTTACCCACAGCTGATGGTCGGCCAAGGTCCTGCAACTTAATTTTTTTAAGAACTATGTTTGAATTCATTTCATTGTACAAATAATACATTAATGCATTCTCTTAGAAATGTAAACATACAGAAATATTTACCGTGTAAAGCAGATCTCTTTTCACATACTTATGTCCTCATTCCCTCAGCAGATATTTATTGAAAATTTACTGTGTTTCAGGCACGGTGCTGAAGAGCTGAAAATACGTGGTTATATATATATATATATATATCTGCAGAAAAATCTTTAGGTTTTGTATGTGTTTGGCCTTAAAATTTGTGTTTTACGTAAATGAGATCACATAGGGTGTATTCTCCAACTTTTTACAATGCAGCAATATATCCTGGAGATTGCTTCTCGGTACGTACACCTCTGGTATGTATTTTATAGTAAGTGACTTCCGCACAGTTTGGATTGCGCCATACAGTGTAGGTCGTCTCCTGTGGTGGACATTCTGGTCCTTCTCCTTTCCCTTCCTTGCAAGCCAAGCTGTAGTGGACGTCCTTGTACATGGTTTTAATGGTGACACTAGAGCATTTCTTTGGGACAGACACTGAAGCCAGGATTGCTGGCCCAAAGCTTATGCTCTGCCTTTTCTACAGATTTTTGGAATTAACTCAGCAGCATTATCGCATGCGTTTCTGTAGGGAAGCTCATCTAGGCTCTGGTGGTGTAGAAATGGAAGAGCCGTGGGTCAATGGATGGGCAGCGAGAGGCTGGTCAGTAGGTGATCCTTGGTGTGATGCTGCTGCTTTTAATGGAGGTGCAGAAAGCATGCGTGAGGGAGGGGTGGCTCTTCTAGATGAGGAGGCACTTCCAGCCCCCCGCGTACCTCTCACCTCTCTACCCATCAGAAAAATCCTTGTCCTTTCCGGTCAAGCTCGAGACCTGCCTCCTTGAAACTTTCAGTATCTGCCTCTGTCCCGGTTGACCTCACCCTTTTCTGGGTTCCTTTGGTAACAGCATTATCCAACGTCATTGAGTTTACTGTGTTAGGCTCTGTATAAGCACTTTACACTCCTTTATGTAAACCCATGTAATCCTCACAAAACCCTGATACAGGTATTTTCTTGTTATCACCATTTACTCTGCAATACTTCGTAGTGCCTACTGTGTGCCAGGCATTCTAGGCACCAGGGATGTAGCTAAGCCCAAGGCCCTGCCCTCAAGGAATCTATATCCTGCTAAGAGGTATAGAAGAAAAAAGGATCATCGGTGCTGTCTCTCGGTACTCAGTCCGTGAAGGGGGTGGATCAGGGTGGGGGCATTAGGAGGGCATGGGACGGGGAGATGCTGTCTTAAGCAGGTGGTCAGGATTTCTTCTCTGAGGAGGTGGCATTTAAGCGGACACCTGAATGCTTCAGTTTTGGAGGAAGTAGTCTTGGTTCAGGAAAGAAAAGGTGTCGAGGTTCTAAGTCAGGAGTGACCTGAATGTTTGAGGAACAATAAGAAAGCCTGAGTGACTGGAGCAGAGGGAAGGAAGGGAGATAGTAGAACATGAGGTCCGAGTTCATCACCTTTACAGGTGGGGAAACTGAGGCAGAGAGAAGTTAAGTAACCTGCCCATGCTTCCAGAGCTAGGAAGAGGCAGATCTGGGGCTGAGTCTTAACCAGGCCTGTTTGACTTCCTCAGATAATGTGTTTTCTTCCAAACTTACTTGACACTTGCTCGTGCCGTCTGTAACAATTAAACGTTTCTGAAAATAGCCTTTTTTTTTTGCTGCTCTGCTTCTTGGAAGTGGGGACTGGGTTTGCATCACTTAAAGAAAATTCTCCAAAGCACGTAATAGCTGCATCACAGTTGTTTTTGAATGAATGAATTATAGCATGACCCACCCCCCATTGTTTTCAGAGGCCTATTGGCCTGAAGGGAGGTGGCCCAGGACTTGGGGCATTCAGCCTTGAGTTGGCATTGTGGAGCACCTTCCCTCGCTGCCTGGGGCTGGGCCGAGCAGCAGGATGGGAGACGGCTGGAGGTCAGCCCTGTGCACGTGGAGCTGGCTGTGTTAGGTGCTGGAGGACGAGTGTCCGCACAGGAGGGCGCTCCCCGGGTGACAGTGTGGCCTTTGGGGAAGAAGGTCTGCTGGAGGGTCTTTCCGAGGAGATGGCACATGACCGAGGCCAGCAGGAGCGTCGCTGGCTGGGCTCGCAGGACAGTGGCAGGAGGACATTGCAGGCTGACTAGTGTGGGCAGGGGTCCGGGGTGTGGGGGCTGGGAAGATGCATTTGAGGGGCTCGGAGTGGCTTGACAAGGCTGGAAAAGTGACTGGAAGGTGCTGTTTTCCAGGCCAGGAGTTTGGTTTGGATCCCAAGGTGGAGAGCTTGGGCATGGGGACACAGTCTGCAGTGCCCCCACAGAGGGGGACAGCCGGGAATGCAGCTGCCCAGGCTTGTGAGGTCTTTGGTAGCGACCAGCCCAGGCCACCCAAGGCTGCTGAGCAGCCTAAGTAGGAAAGATATGCAAGTCGACTGTCTTGCCCTGTCCCCTGGGAGCTGTCCTGTCAGTGGAGAAGTGGGTCCTCTGCACTGGAGAGCCCCGTGTCCCAGTGTCGGAGACAGTGGTGGCCCCCCGCAGCAGCAGCTCTCCACGCACTGGCACTCAGGAACCGTTTGCTGAGCTGGGGCCGGAGAGCTGGGCTGCAAGGGCTGCTTACCTGACACACAGCTTCTCTGTTACAAGCGTGGAGTTGGCCCAGTGACATGGTCACTGTTCACTGATACCCTCGCATAGGCCACAGGGAAGTGTCTGTGTTCAAGTTTGTGGAGTAATTTTTAATCTAGAGGATTAAAATCAGTACTAAGTGAAATTCTAGAAGGCCTGTGACTTTTTTTTAAGCTAAGTTAGGGGAGAAAATCTGAGCAGAACAAAGGTTGGTGAGATAAAATAGAGGGCAAAGTAGAGTGACCTTTAGTTGTGTAACTAAAATAGCAAATAAGATTTTTAAAACATCAGTAATTGTGAAATATGTGATTTTAGGATGTAGCAGTGTGGCTCAGCATCAATTCCTCCAGAAGCTAAAAACCACTTTGCATTGGGCATTAGAAACATTTAAAATTCTTTAAAATATCACTATTATAATAGTAATTTGACTCCACAACAAAAATTTGGAAAGTAAAGACCAAAAGGGGAAAATTTATTTTTATCTTAGACTCACTCTTAAGATGATTCTCGTGACATCTTTTATGATCTGCTTTTGCTGCATCTAGTCAGTAATCTGTAGAAACACCAAATCTGTTCCTGCACCTCAGAGATAATCATACTGATGTCTTTGGTGAATTTCAGTCTAATCTCTTTGAATTTTTTTCTTTCTCAAAACCCAGTGGTGCTCACATTATGGACAGACATTTCTAACATCTTTAAAATGGTCCATCGGTGAGTCTTGTTATTACGGAATCCGTGGCCTCTCTGTCCTTGTCTGGGCAGACGGTTCGGTTCACAGTCTGCAGTCTTCTTTCCCCACAGCCCATAGTCCCCCATCTCTGCCCCAGTGTCAGGGTTTACAAACTACCTTTTCTGCATCTACACGGGTGATGGAATTGTTGGGGAAACTCCAGCAGCCAGGTGGCTGGTGGTGCCAGCCGTTTGTTTGATCTCAGGTGCGCCTGCAGGTGCCTATCCCTTGTCGTTGTCGGCCTCGTGGGATGCTTGCAAGCCTTCCTCCCTCTTGCAGGGAGCCCTGTGCTGCATCCCCGCTTCCCTCATTCTCAACAAATAACCTTGCTTCTTACCTCAAGAGGATCAGCACCGTTGTGTATGATTTTCTTCAACTTTTTACCTATCTCCATGCACCTCCTCCCAACATTTAATTTAGATCTACAACATGTTTTCACTTCCTTATCTCCTGTCTCAGGACAGGCCTGCCTTCTTTTCAAGGTCATCTCCTCTACCAATGCCCTTGACACCTATGCCTTCCTCTCTACCTGTTCTGGAGCTTTTATCAGCCATCTCTTCTCTCTGCAGAGTTCTTCCCTTCAGCTTGTAAAGTCATCCATTTCCCTTCAT